TGTCTCACTGCCTCATGAAGCCACCATGTCATGATTGCTTCAAAAGGTATTTGGTATTAAACAGCTGATGCAAGTGGCACAGAGTATAAATTTTTAAGTTCTGAAGAGGAAAGTTGTGCAAACTTCATTTTAGCAAGAGAACACCGCCTGCCATTGCGCCTCTCGTGGGCCTTCATAGAGCTCCATTCTGTTCCCGTAAATCTTACTTTCCTGCATGCTCCAACCAATCCCTTTTGCTTATTTGGCTGTACTTGCTATTGCTGTTGAAATTGTCTAGCACAGCTGTTATTTCTGATTATGTGCCTACTTTTCAAGGGGTATCTGATATAAAAAATATTTCCCCGCACTAATATCCGCAACTGTACTGAGGGACAAGCGGGACAATTTTGCAGGAGATTGTTCGGATGCATTGATCGGTCACGTTATTATGCGAATTTACAAAAAAAAACATGTTGTGGCTGGAAGCTAGAATGACCTCTCAAGACAATCAGAAAAGGAAAAAAGTATTCACTCTTTTTATTGGTAGGTTCTACCTGAAAATAAGAAAAATTCATAAGCTGTCATAAAAAAAATGACCAAAATTAAGCGCCATTGTAACACTGATTCCGGCCTTTGACAGCATGATTAAAAAATTTTCCTCGAGACCACGAAGACCTAAGTAATATATGAGTGACTTAGCACTTCGCTAAGTGCGAAGGGTGATGTGGAAGAAAAACAATTCTGCAGATAAACGGGGATGTACGTATCCTACTGTCGCACAAAGGGTTAGTCTACCTATTTGTTTCATAAATATAGTCCCGGACGGGTGCACATTCGGCCGCATTAGAGAACCTAGAAATGGAAGCTCCAAAAGACTAAATGACAGGCACAGATAAGTCCATACCAATACCACGTAAAGGTGTTTCTAAAGGGTTTTTCTTAATGTGTTAAACCGCCTGCTTGTCAAAAAGAAATGATCTATTGTTTCCAGTTCACCACAGAATGCGCACAGTGACGAAGGTGCCTGAGCAGACCTGTGTTTAAAGAAATTTAGATTTGGTACCCAGCAACGCAGCCTTGTGATAGCTATTTCTCTTTTACGAGTGCGCCAAATGTTTGTTCACCAGGGATAGAATAAGTGGCGATATTCGGTAGAGTTTGTTAGTGCTGTACCTTTGAAGACTTCCATAAGTCTACGTTTGCGGAATCAAGCAGCAGTCACATAAGCGGGTGATAGACAGTGCGGTAGAATAGGTTCACTAATTCACGACTTAGCTAAGGAATCGACTGTTTCATCTTCAGGCAAAATTCTTTATCGTCGTCAGCCAACCCACAGAAAATTGTACAAAATATTTGCATGTGCCCAGTGGGTAGAACGCCTAATGAAAAAATGACGAAGGGTGCTAAAGTGTGGGCCTGCCTACTACACAAATATTATGACAATTTATGGTGTAGTGGGCATTCAGCAAATGGGCTTCTAGTAGTTGCCCAAAAAGTGTTCAGAAAAGGTTCTGAAAGGTTACGCCTACAGCTTTTGTTGGGACTCTGCTGCGCGTTGCGCGCCGGGCTGGCTTTTTTTTTTTTGCGAGGCGTTTCTTAGCAAATTTTGGCGACATGTAGAGTATCTATCTATCTATCTATCTATCTATCTATCTATCTATCTATCTATCTATCTATCTATCTATCTATCTATCTATCTATCTATCTATCTATCTATCTATCTATCTATCTACTATCTATCTATCTATCTATCTATCTATCTATCTATCTATCTATCTATCTATCTATCTATCTATCTACTATCTATCTATCTATCTATCTATCTATCTATCTATCTATCTATCTATCTATCTATCTATCTTGGTCCCCTCCCTAACTTGGCATGAACCAAAATTAGCTTGGGAGAGTAAGACGATTTGACGAACAAGACGCGCTGGCCAAGACATGAATAATGTCACAATACCGTCGCGTACGTCATCAAGAACTTCCCGCCAGACAGTGGCACATACCCACGGGTGGGTATGTGCAGCTGGTATGCGGGTATGTGCCACAGGTGATCGACACTTAGTATCTACCTAGAAACGGCGAGAACACACATGGGAAATTTAACTCACGAGTGTTAAGAAATACCCGAAATCGGTAGCGTCGACGTGACGAATGCAAAGAATAAGTGTCATGGTCGCAGCTGGAATCGAACCCAAGCATTCTGCGTGGCAATGAAGCATTTGATATGCACTCCTTTGATACAGCCTTCACGTCAGGGTAACGTGAATTGTTCTTAGTTGCAATGCGCTGAAGTTTATTTTTGTAGAAGTCTCTAGGGCCAGCATATTCGGAGCATCAGCGCTTCACATCAGCTTCTGGTGTTCCAGTAGGCATGTTCTTGTTATCATCGTTGCGCAAGTGTGAACAACTGGTTATATAAACATCTGCAACTCTTTAACATATGTCTGTGTGTGAAACAATTCTACATATATTTAGCGTCATTTCATGGTGTGTCGCTCTATAAAGATATTGCAACATGGTCACCTTCCCTCCGCTTGGTTCGCATACCGTCGAATCCCTGATACGTAACATTGATCACAGCACAAAACCATGCACACAACGGTGACATAATATAACAACACTTCAACTTACCACAACTTGCCGTTCGCGCTTCACACACACGCTTCATTCGCCAGGTACATATAGGCACCGCCCCGCCGCGGTGGTCTAGTGGCTAAGGTACTCGGCTGCTGACCCGCAGGTCGCGGGTTCGTATCCCGGCTGCGGCGGCTGCATTTCCGATGGAGGCGGAAATGTTGTAGGCCCGTGTACTCAGATTTGGGTGCCCGTTAAAGAACCCCAGGTGGTCAAAATTTCCGGAGTCCTCCACTACGGCGTCTCTCATAATCAAATGGTGGTTTGGGACGTTAAACCCCACAAATCAGTCAATCATATAGGCACCATGTTCTGAGCTCTCATGTTGCTCTGGAGGGACTCTTCCTTAAAAATATTTAGGCAATAAACATCCGAGGCGTAGATATTTATTTGCAATAGCCTGATGGAGGCACTTTAGCACACATGCATTTTATCTTAAACCCGCTTCATATTTAATACGTGTTTAACTATAGCGAAAGTTATTTATCACTCACTGCTTTGTCGTAAATGCTGCATTTGCATTAGCAGTACGGTGTGCAGATCCATAAAATGCTCTGAATTGTAGACGAAGCCCGAGGGTCCGTGCATGAACACTTCAACGACGCACATTCAGCAGCTTCAGCGATGAACCGAGATGCACTGCCGCTACCGCGTTCGACGACTAGAATGACAGCTGGCGACCACAAAATGCTTGCTGCTGGCCAGTTTCCATCTCCTTATTTTTACCATGCACAAAAATAGGTGTCCACTATCTACACAGTTTAAATTCGGAGAGAGTTCACAGTCACGGTTCCTGTTGCTCACATTCTTTGCATGACCAGGCATGTGGTACGCCGTTTCTGTGTGTCTGCACCTCGTTCGGCGCTCCACTTCGTGTTAGTCATTTTACAGCTGCGGTCACACGGCGCAGAAAACTGTTATTTTAGCCAGGAGCCATTGTTTTTTGTGAAACACAATATTTGCCTCGCCTGTGATTGGTGCTCGCTCGTAGAGCTCACCATGGCGGCGGGCCCGCACTGCCAGCTCTCTACGACACCGGCGTGATATCGACAGATACCGAGGCCTTCTTACCGCTTAGACGTTGCAGCCGGTGAAACACGGTTGACACTCCGAGAAGCCACCATCGGCAGAGTCAAGGCGAGCGCGTCGCCGGTGCTACTCTCACACTGCTTGCCCGCCAGCCTGCCGTGGTCGAGCGAAGCCTACATCCAACCGCTTTGAAGTTTTAGACGATGAAACTCCAGAAACAGTCGCTGAAAGTCGTGACAGCTTGATTTTGTTACCATTAAATTATTCTTCGAAATTCTTTGAAACTCGGCCCTTTGAAGCGAGGCATTCGCAGTGTTTCGTTGACGAATCGGGCCAGTGTCCACCGCGGTTCAACGGTGTGAAATATCTTCAAATGTTCACACTGAACACCAACCGGTCGTTGCAAGTCTTCGCTGCACTGATAATTTCGTTGCCTGTCGACAGATGCTCACACGGTCAGCCCCACAAAACACTGGTGTTTCTCGTCGACGTGCAAATAAATACCCGTACATACGCACAAACGCACATACGCACTTCACGATCAAAAAGGGTTTTTAAAACTCCCATAGGGAGTTTGTAACCATGTGACCTGAATTTCCAGGGGTAGCTTAACAAGCTCATGTCGTTCATAAACTAAGCATTAAGCAGGGGGCGTTTTACGACGACACGTGCCGTATTCACTCCGTACCATGAAGGAAATAATTGTGTCAGGGGAGTTTTGGGGGCTCATATGCTGGATAAACTGCCATCTCGGATAATTATTGCTGACAGTGTGAGATTCCCGCACCAATAAC